GCTCGCGCGGAAAGAGGGAAACATGAATCCAGAACATCAGTGAATATCTCAGCACTTTCAAGATTTACACCTGTTTAAATGAAAGGTGACTGAAGATGAATGTAGTGGTGGTCAATTAGCTTAATTCGCTGTACTCGGGGTCCGAGATTCAAACCCCACCCCAGAGTCATAATCCCGGGGGCTAATGCTGACATGAGTGAAGTCCGTAGCCCGCAACAAGCTCACAAAGATGGGTTGTGCTATATCGTGTAAATGGAACATGAAAAGCGGTCTGATCAGCTGGCCAAGTGGGTGGCATTACTACATTCTGCCTGTGAGATCCTGGGTTGGATCCCCAGTTGGGTCGATGGGTTTGCACTGCTGATGAGACCCAACCAGATCGAAACAGCTGTCCTGTGCTTCCTAGCTTTTCAGTTCGTTCTTCCTTTGCTATATACACGACGAATTTCCCCTTTGAAATATATATATATATATATATATATATATATATGATATTCGGTTTTTTGCTGACCTCTTCTCCCTCCACAAATTGCAACAGGTTCAGACCGATCTCTATGCATTCAGGCAGATGATTTCAGTCGTTTTGATATCTATTTCTTTGCAACCTCAGGTATGGCAAATCTCGTAAATTTTCCCACCCGACTCGGTGTCTAACTTGATGGCATCTTTGTGAACAACCGGAAATCTATTTTTATTATTAAGTGGGCTATCATAGGCAACTCAGACCATTGTTCTATTTTTTACATCTCAAAATTTACGGTAAATATTTTCATTTCCGAATGACCCGTTTTACCTTCAGAATCTTCAGGAGGAGAATTCGCTCACCTGACAACTTAGCTAGACTTCTACCGATTTTACTGTGTTTTCCAATGTTGATAACTCTTCCGATTGTGAACATCTTACGTGTTACCCTAATTTTCGCTATGATCGGTGTTATTCAGTTGAGACGTCGTACGTTCGAACCGATGGATTTTCTTTGCCTCTTCTATCGTGAAAAAGAAAAGGCCTACAGGACTGGAAGTTGCAGGGCTGTTAAACATTTATCATTTTAATCAAAATGCAAATACGGCGCCTAAATTAGATGTATATTGAAACTCTTACGAAAAATGAGAACTTCCTTGAAGCAGCTCTGCGGTTCACGCTATAACTCTTTCCCGGATGTCGAGGGGTTAAATCGTCAATTCGCCAATGTTTCTGCAATAAACTACGCACCTTCATCCCGGTAGAAGTTATGAAGACAATGAAGTCACTTAAATCCAACAAGACACATGACCCCGGTTCATTATCATCCTTCCTGTTGAAACTGTGTACCGAAAAACTTGCTTCACCTCTTTCCTATTTATTCAGTTTGTGTATGTCATCTGGAAGTATCCCTGATTGCTGGAGAGTTGCCCTAATAACACAACCCACCCAAAAAGGGTCTTCCAAGTACCGACAATTCAGCACTATTGATCGTTTTCGAAACAGTGCTTCTTAACCAGATGACCCTTTTGTCTGTTGCTCATGACCCTATTCAGTTTGCTTACAAACCTTCGCTTTCCACTCTTGATGCTGTTGCTCAGGTTGTTCACTCCGTTTCAATCTCATTGGATGAAGCGTCCGGCATTATCCGCTTAATTTTTATTGATTAAACAAATGCTTTCGGATCACTTGACCGAGGCAGTGTGTTGTAATTAGCACTCGGACTAGTATTTCGTACACTTATCGAAATCCGCGCAGTAATAGTTCAACCCAGAACTAGGACTCGAAATGAAATCAGAATACAGAATTCAACAACGGAATCGAACAGTAGTAAGCGGAAAGTCGGAATGTACAAGGATATCACGTTTATTAAACCAGAGGAGTCCATGGTTTATGTGCAATCACCACACAATGTCATTCAAGAACTTTTGGATGGCGGACAGGCGCCTGATGTGTTGAATTTACAAATGAATTACTTCGCACATAAGGTGAAATTCACTCACTTTAACGGTGAATCTTCCTCCTTGCTGGAAGTCAACTCCGGAGTTTTTCAGGGAGCTATTTTGTCTCTACTCCTTTTTTTGCTGTGCATTAACAATCTTCTAATCCTTCCCAACTTTATCACGTGCAAGTATGCTGATGAATTGATAAGTAGGTTGTCCCTCGACTGATCCTGATAGGTTCCTCCTATTTCAGGACT